TGTTTTGACTAATTCATACACGGAGTAACCCACACCTCATCACTACAGGAAACATTTCCACCTTCCAGAAAGTTCCCTCACATCATGCCTTCCCTGGCAACGCCCACCCTCCACTCCCAGAGGCAGCTACCATTCTGATTTCTTTCCCTATACATTAGTTGTTTCTGCTGTAGAACTTGATATGAGAGAAATCACACAGTACTGTCTTTGAATTCTTTTCCACAGCATAATTGTCTCTCATTTTTAAATCCATTTCTGGACACATGTATACGCAGCAGCAGTGTGTTGGCTTTGTTACATGCAAGAGCTCCTACCATGATCACCCATCTGTCACTTGTCTTTTCCACTAACAGCAAGATCAAGGTATCTCTCAGAGCCACAATTCCCACGTACTGCATAGGGAGGCCACAGCACTGATGTTCCATTCATGGTTTATATAATGCCACTGTGGATAGGCATTGAGGTTATTTCCATTTTTCCCCTTGCTAATACCATGCAATGTACATCCTCCAGCAGACGTCTTTGGCTTCTCTGTGTAGGTTTCTCTGGAATTGATTGCAGCAAAATTGCTGAGTCAATTAATAAACCCCCAGTGATGAATTAACATTCTAATTTCCTCTTGTTGACCATCCAAATCTTCAGCAATTCTTTTGAGCAGGAAAATGTTCTTGCCCGTCATTAGAAGATTGCTAAACAAGGCCTAGGGAGTTTGGAGAGTTTTGAGGTGTGTGGTAAGGGGATGGGGCGTCTAGCTAATGAATTGATGATGTCTCTCTCTGTTGAAGCTGGTCTCACTGATGAGTTCTCCAGGTTTTCTGATTCCTCCTCTAAACTTATGTGGGCAAACAGAACCTGCTGATACCCAGTGAATTAATTGTTGGGGGGTAAGAGGGACCGTAATACCCTCTCTTACATGAGCACAGTATTTTACCCTTGCTAATACCACCGTGGCCTCGGGACTAGTTTGAATCTCAGTTTCCCCACCTGTGGCATGTCTACGGCTTTGGAGTCAGATTGCCTGCCCCTGGCAGGAAGGAACTGCAATACAATAATGTGCCCTTTTTATAATAACGCAGCCATTCCAACAACTGTGGCTTTTGGGAGGCTTTTTGAGCCTCAGTTTCCTCCTTTGTATAAAAAACCATATGGTGCCTCTCTTTACAGGTGTGGAGAGGACTACAGAAGATAGTAAGGACAAACTTTTCATACAGTGCCTGGCATGAAGAATGCAATCAACGGCCACGTTTGTGAAGATGATAATGATGATTATTATTATGGAAATACGAGCCTTAAATATTAGGGCTTCAGCATGCGACTCACCTAAATTCACCTAGCAGTACAGCTGGAATTAGGGACTCATGTCTCTTTCCCCAGGCCGGAGAGGGGGGCGGCTGGGCCCAGGAGGAGCGGTGAAAAAAACTCCCAGGCGGTCCAAGCTGGGGGCCTGGGTGGTGGTGGCTTGCAGGTGTGGGACAGAGAGGTAAGGTGACCCCCGCACCCGCAAGGAGCGCATTCCCAGGCCTCACGCCCGGGGTCTGCAGGTGACGGGCTGGGGCAGCAAGGGAACGCGTTAGCCCAGTTTGCCGTCTCCATGGCGACCGCCCGCGCGGCGCCAGCCTGACAGCCCGTCCGGGTTTTATGAATGGGTGACGTCACGGGCCTGGCGTCTAACGGTCTGAGCCGCTTGTTCAGACGCTGACACAGACCGGCCTGGGAAGCGGGGGGTTGGGGGGGGCTAGATTTTAGCTCCGCAGCTGCCGCGCTGTGGGAGGGAGACCCTGCTCCGAGGTCTTTGAGGGAAAAAAAGTGCAGCCAAAAAAGGGAGAAAAGTTAAAAATCACTAGTTGCTGCAGATTTAGGGAATTTTTGAAAGGCTGCAAATTCAGGGTAGAATCGGATGCAGCCCCACTTCACTGTGCTACTATCTAGTTCAGGTCCCAGCCCCCAACCTTGCAAGATTTTACCAAATTAATTGTTCCCACCCCTGGTCCCAAGAACACTAACAACAACATTCTCTGGTACTTGGGAAAGGGAGGCCAGCCACCCGGAGCGGGGTGTAAAGGAGGGTCTGCTTTAAATTTCGGGAACCAGGGTCCCAGAGGTAATCTTCCGAGAGGGTCCGGAAACCCAGGCTCTAGTCCTGGGCTCTCGGGAGACCCAGAGCCAGCTGCTTCTCCGTTCGAGCCTCAGTTTCTCTCATCTGTAAAATGGAGCTGGAAAAGGTGAGAAAGTGAACATGGGAAAACTGATTCCTGAGATCTTTTTGCTATTGGCAATACCGGCTTAGCTTCCTTGCCGCCCTCCTGAAGAGCCGAAGGCAGCCCTCGCCTCCACTAGCTGCCGGGCCCCGTGCTCTCCCACCCACCCTCTCTGTTCTTGAAACTCGGGTATCCTTTCCGCCAAGGCGAGAATGCCCTAGTAGAGCTGGAGGCGGGGCCCAAGAGCGCTCGAGGCCACGCCTCCAGACCGCCCATTGGCTGCTTTTGAACGTTCTGAGCCCGCCCCTTGGGAGGTGCGCCCCCCCCCCCTCCGTCTTTATAAAAGACCGGCTGTGGCACTCGACGCTTGCAATCTGCGATCGTTTTCTTGTACTCCTCTTCTGGTGCGCTGGGCTCCCACCTTCTCCGTCCGCTTTTCTTGTTTTATCCCGTCACCAGGATCATGAAGGTCGCCAGTGGCAGCGCCGCGGCCGCCGCGGGCCCCAGCTGTGCGCTGAAGGCGGGCAAGGCCGCGGGCGGCGCGGGCGAGGTGGTGCGCTGCCTGTCGGAGCAGAGCGTGGCCATCTCGCGCTGTGCGGGCGGCGCCGGGGCGCGCCTGCCCACCCTGCTGGACGAGCAGCAGGTGAACGTGCTGCTCTACGACATGAACGGCTGCTACTCGCGCCTCAAGGAGCTGGTGCCCACCTTGCCCCAGAACCGCAAGGTGAGCAAGGTGGAGATCCTCCAGCACGTCATCGATTACATCAGAGACCTGCAGTTGGAGCTGAACTCCGAATCCGAAGTCGGGACCCCGGCGGGGCGCGGGCTGCCCGTGCGGGCTCCGCTCAGCACCCTCAACGGAGAGATAAGCGCCCTGGCAGCCGAGGTGAGGTCCGAATTGGAGCACTAGATCATCCTTCCACCGATGGGGAAACTGAGGCCAGAGTGGGAGGGGGGCTTGGACTGTGTCCGTCCCATCCTTGCACGCACCTGGCTTTGCAGGGATGCCCAAGGAGACTGGAAAACGCTCCCCCATCGTGTCTCCTGGGGAAAGTGGGGGGGCTGCTGCGCTCGCAGCGTTGTCCCCTCCAACCTGCCCGGCTCACCTTTCTCTTGTTTTCACAGGCGGCGTGTGTTCCAACGGACGATCGCATCTTGTGTCGCTGAAGCGTCTCCCTCAGGGACCGGCAGATCCCAGCCTTTCGGGGGCAGGAGGAATAAGTGCTTTCCGATCCACCGAAGATCCACCCGAGCGCCTCGCCGGAGCTGGGGGGAAACGACAGATCGGCGGGCATTGGGCACTTGCTGGATCTGGCCCCGCGCTGGTGGACTGACGAGGAGAGGCTGTGACCCTCTTTTGCCAAACTTACGAGCCACCAGAGACTTGGGGGGGTCCCCCCAGTGTGTTTCTATTTTTTGAAAAGCAGACATTTTAAAAAATGGTCACGTTTGGTGCTTCTCAGATTTCTGAGGAAATCGCTTTGTATTGTATATTACAATGATCACCGATTGAAAATATTGTTTTACAATAGTTCTGTGGGGGTGTGTTTTTTTTGTTATTAAACAAATACTTTGGTGGTAAAGTTGTAGTGACTTCTTGGGTTGAGGGGAGGGGCCTGGGCTGGGGGTTGACCCCTGACACTCTTCACAGCTGGTGCTGGGAGGAGGGGAACTGGAGGGTCACATCTGGACTGTCGCTTTTACCGGCCTGAATGAGCGTTTCCGGTGTCTTTAAAGTCTATTCTTTCCCCCATCTCTGGCCATTTCCCTGCTCCCCGGTGTCATAAAATTAAATACTCTAGACCTCTAGGGTTTCTCAAAGTGATCATTGGACCATCTGGATCACCTGGGGAGGTTGTTAAAATGCAGATGAACCTGCCAAGGCCCCCTCTGAGTTGGGGAGTATTGAACAAGCTATTTAGGTTGGAGAACCAGGTCACTGGACCACCCAGTTCTTGCCAAGAGGTGGGAAGTGAGATCCAGTGGAAAGGGATTTGCCCAGGGTCATAGCTTGTCTGAGGCAGCACTTCTGTCACCCCATATCCTAGTAGGAGGTGCTTCCCCCTATGGGCCACCTAACCCTGGATCTCAGCAAGCTGCCCTGGGGCTCCTGGCTTTTCCAAGTGGGTGAGCAAGTTGGCAGGGCCAGACTGGGCACAGCTGCTGGGCCACCTGCTCTGGGTCCAGACTCAGCCCCCTCTCCCTGGCCTGGCTCTGCCAGCAGCTAAAGCAAACCTTTTTTCCCCCAAGGCTAATGCGTGGGCTCCGAGGAGTGGGTGAGTCTCTCCTCCCCAGCTCCTGAGCAGGAAAAAGGTGTCATTGGCAAGGGCCTATCTGCCTGGACATGTATGTGGGTTTGTACCCACAGGGGAGTGCGTATGAATGCCCAGGCCTGTGTCTATAACATGAGTGAACTGGTAGTCCCCCACCAGCACCATGGGGCTGGGTCATCTCTTCATGTACAGGCCTGGGGGTGTAAATAAGGATATGCTTGGGGGGTGTGCAGAAGGGTAAATGTGAGCACATGTGTTCTGCAGATAAGTGTGCAACCTCCAGCTGTTTGGGCTTGTATGTTCTGCCTAAATGCACTGTGGGCATCTCTGTATGGGTCTGGGTTGATGGATGGTTTTGTGTACCTGGGGGCCACAGAACCACACTGTGAGTTTCTGTGTGTATAATTGTTCCATAAACTGGTTGGCACTCCTGGGCCTCTGCAGGTCTGGGGTGAGGGTGGGGGCAGCTGTGTTTGGACAAACCCTTCCTCAAAAGTTCAAGTACCAACTCCCTGGGCAGTTAGGCCCCAAGGACACCAACCGGTGTCCCTGCCAGGTCAACTCCCATGTATTACACAGAGAGAAACTGAGTCTCAGAAAGGGCAAAGAGCTTGTCTCAGAGGGGACAAGGACTATTAATACATTTTGTTAATAAACGAAATAGAATAAAATAAACAGCAACCTAGCACCAGGAGCCTGATGCTATGCTCGACCCTGAGAAAAGAAAAGAACTTTTATCTGAGGAATGTAAGTCCTTTTAATTATCAGGCCCAGAGAAACATTAAGATGAGACCTCAATCATCACATCCTACTCTCCCCTTTGAGCTGTGAATTCATCGCCTGAAATTACTGGCTATTGCCACAAGTAGCTATAAATTAATCTAATAATGCCATACCTGACACTATAACCCCCTTTAGCTTAACAATGTATATAGCCAATCACTAATCAATGTTATTTCTGTAAACCAAGCAGAATTTCAGGCCCACTTCCTGTCCCCCTTTTTGGCCTTTAAAAATGCACTTGTAACCGTTGCTAATCAGGGCAACTTAAATCTATGCTCCCGGTTGCAACGCTCACGCTTGGCCCAGATAACTCTCTACTTGTATTAATTTTGCCTCAACTTCTTCCTTTTAGGTCGACAACTCTTTACATAAAGGATTTCATGGGGGCTAAAGGCAGGATTCTGATCCCAGTTTTATAGCAGAAGAAACAATCTGTGAGAGGGGATGAACAAAATCAAATTAAAATTAAAGGTTATTTATTGAGCACTAACTTTAAGCCAGGTACCACCGCCTCCTCAAGCATTTTATGGACTTTATCAAAAACACAGTATTTGTGGGTAAATTATGTCCTTCGCCCTCCCCGCCGCTGTTTATGGTGCTAACCGCATAGAACTGCGGTACAGAATATATGAAATAAATCGAAGGAAGGGTTTAGCACAGTGCCTGGCACGGTGTGTTTAATAGTTACAAATTGTCATTATTCATTGTGGCCTGTGTGTCCCCAGCAGTGTCCTCAGAGGCACACATGTGCACCCACTCCCTCCCACGTGTGGGCCCCCGCCTGCAAGCCCACCCACGGGGACGTGGGCGGGTCCCCCGCGCGTACTCCTACACTGCAGGGCCGTCTTCCAGGGGAGGAGGGGGCTGCGGCGGGCCCTCGGCCACCTCCCCCGCCATTCAGGCACACTCTGGATTCCACGTTTCCCTCTTTTCCCCTTTGGCCCGGGCCCAGCCCATCTGGAGGCCGGCTCGGCGGCGGCCTGGGAGCGTTTCCATCAGCTGGGCCCGAGGAATGCGGAGCTATTTAACCTGAGCATCCCCAGGTGTACGGAGGCGCCTGGCTGTCTGGGGCCCGCCGTCTTTGGCACGGCCGCGCTAGACAAACAGCGCGCCGCCCCCGCCCTGCCCCTCCGCCCGCAGCTGCAGCGGGGCCTGGGAACCGGCGGGCGCCGGCGGCTTGCATAAGAGGCTCGGGCCTCGCGGAGGGAGGGGGACAGAGGCTGTGTGTGTGTGTGTGCGTGTGTGGAGAGCACACAAACCCCAGCTCCTTTGGAAATCATTAACGCCTTAACCCTTCCTGGACGGGGCGCAGCCGAGAGCCAGGGTGGAAGAAACAGAGAAACACCGGTGCCCCACTTGGGCGCCGGACCCTGCCTTTCCAGGGCCGTGGGCCTGAGACCTGAAGTATTTTTTGTCTTATTTAACTAACACTGATAGAGCTCTTATTATGTGCGAGGCACTATGCTAAGCTCTTTAAAATAGCAATTCATTTAAAAACTTCAGAACCTTAATGGGGCCGGCGCTTATTTGAATAATAACAGTAACAATAATAGGCTAACATTTTAGTAGGAAGGCAGGTAGAACACTGCCTTAGAATCTGCCTTTTTTAAAAAAAGACGGTCTTGCTTTGTCGCCAGGCTGGAGTGCAGTCATGCTCACTGCAACTTCAAAGTCCTGAGCTCAAGCGATCCTCCTGCCTCAGCCTCCTGAGTAGGTAGGATTACAGGTGCCTGCCACCCCACCAGGCTAATTTTTGAGGGGGGAGGTCTCACTGCCTAGGTGGCTCTTCAACCCTTGACCTCAAGGGATCCTCTCACTTCCCGCCTCTGCCTCCCAAAGTGCTAGGATTACATGCCTGAGCCACCACACCTGGCCAGAATCAGCCTTGATGTACATTACGTGACCTATCTGAGCCTCTCTTTTCTCATCTGGAGAATGGGCCTCAGAATCTGGGCCTCAAGGCTCAGTTGAACTGATGTACATTAAAAAGCTTAGCACCCTAACAGGCTCATGGTAGGTACTTAGTAAATGTTGGAATAAAGCGTTTTGAGCCCTTACTAAGGGGAATTGCCTCAACAGCCCTATCAGGTGTTTGGGCCCATTGATATTTCTACTTTTCAGATGAGAACAGGGAGGCAGCCAAGAGGTGAGGGAACCCACCCAAGGTCACACTGGAACGGATGCTAACTTAGAGGACTTTCCAAAAATCAGGCCTGAACAACCCAGGTTTGAGGGGCTTCATGTTCCCAAGTATGTCCAATTTAGGCTTTTGTCCTATTTCCAATTAAAATCATACCTGGTCATGATATATTTTTTAAGTGTAAACCAGATACATGCAAGACATATAAACATATCACAATTTCTGCAACCCACAGTTTGGCATTTCTTAATTTTAAAAAATCTAACCAGAACCTGGAAAGATGGAAATTTGGTCTGCTCTCTCCACCTCTCAGAGGTCTGGGGACAGGTCCTGTGTGACCCGGTTCTGAAGGGACTGGTCACACAGTTAGGCACAGGTCTTTTTTTTTTTTTTTTTTTGAGACGGAATCTCGCTCTGTCAGCTGGGCTCACAGCAACCTCCAACGCCATGAGCTCAAGCGATCCTCAGCCTCCAGAGTAGCTGGGACTACAGGCGTGTGCCACCACGCCCAGCTAATTCTTCTATTTTTAGTAGAGATGGGGTCTTGCTCTTGCTCAGGCTGGTCTCAAACTCCTGAGTTCAAGCTATCCTCCAGCCTCAGCCTCTCAGAGTGCTAGGATTACAGGCGTGAGCCATCTCACCCAGCCTAGGCACAAGTCTTAAGCCAGGTAAAAACCAACCAAACTCTGTGGAAAGGTCTGATTCTGTGCTGGAGGCACCTCCCCCCTCCCCGGGGGTCAAGGATGCTTCACACACAAACACCAACCTTAACACCTGCGGGTCTGAGTCATCTGGACCTGGAAGCCGGCTTGATGGGGGTTGGGGGGAGTGCCACTGGATTCCCTCACAAGGTACCCTGTGAGTCCAAGGCCCCGTCCTAGAACTTTTCCTCATGCCAGTCACTCAGTAATTACTGAGTATCAGGACCTGCCAGTCAACTTGGACTCCCTGCAGCCCAGGGTCACACATGGCAGGGCTTCCAGTGGCAGGCAGGCCTCAGATCCCAGCCTGGCTGCCAGAATGAAAGGTGGTGAGTCAGAGGGCCCGGCCAGGGGCTGGGCGAGGCTGGGGCCAGGGTGTGGGCAGGCACCACTTTCCCGGAAAGGGAAGGGAAGAGGAAACCAGAAGGCCAGGAGGAGCCCAGGGAGGGGGAAGGGCACCCTTATCTCCCCGCCCCACCCTGGGTGGTACTGCTTCCTGCCCCAACTCTTGCAAAACCTCCTTCCCAGAGCTGCCCCCAAGAGGGGTGCCCCAGGCCATACAGCGTTGCATCAGGGCCTTGTGCAAGGGGGCTTACCAGGAGGACGGTGGCTGTGGGCCAAGAGGGGGTGAGGTGAGGCAGAAGCAGGTTCTAGGCCCAATACCGCTTTTTTTTTTCTTTTTTTTT